GATATATTGTGCTTTTTCTCAACCAAAAGAAAAGCAAAAAGTATGTTGCAAATGCAGACTTAGTGGTATTATCCTTTTCACTTGAAACCGTAGCCCGGTTTGAGGCTGTGTTCAGAACTGTGTGGCATCTCTGATAACACAAGTCCTGAGTGTAAGTGGATGAGAGACGGGTGGCAAGCAATTGGGCAGCTGGGACCTTGATGCCCTAGTGTAGGAGAGCTAAATTCTGGAGGGATTATTTGGGACTAAAGCAGTGGATAGGGACCTAGTACAGGGGTAATGTTCTGGCGGTCTAACCAGACCCTTGATTCTTGATTATTTCTTGAATGCCTATTCTATGCCGGGCACTATTCTAGAAGCTGGGGATACAGCAGGAAATAAAAAATAGTTTCTGTTATCCTTGAACCTATAGTTGAGTGGATGAAGACAGGCTGGCAGGTGATGATAAGTGCTAGGAAGAAACCTAAAGCAGAGCCAAGGGATGGTTGGGTGGTGCTATTTTAGATAGATTAGCAAGAGAATGTCTTTCTCAAAAGGATGCCTTTGAGCAGAGACCTGAATCAAGAGATGGAGAAGTCATGTGGGAATCTGGAGGAAGAGCATTCCAACTTAAAGGAACAGCCTTGGAAAGGCTGAGTTGGGTTGGCCAACCCAGCCTTTGGAACTGGTTCTGAGAATAGCAAGGGAGCCAAAGTGGCTGGCACTGGGTGAACCAGGGAAGTGTGGCGGGCAGTGGGGTCAGAGAGTTGACTGGGGCAAGACTAGGTAGGACCTTCTGGTGAGGGAGGTGGGAAGCCACTGAAGGTTTTGAGCAGAATAGTGATATGAACTGACTTAGGTTTTAAAAGGATCATTCTGACTGCCATGTTGTTGAATACGGAGGCAACGGAAAAAGCAGGGAGACCAGTTAGGAACCTCTTATGGAAGTCCAGGTCAGGGAGGCAGTGGTCTGGGCAGGAAAGTCATGGAAAAGTAGTGGAAATCACCCCTGCCACCCCCATTTCCACTACTTTCCCACTACTTCATAGATAGAACCAACAGGATTTTCTGGTGGATTGGACATGGATTATGAGAAAAAGTAAGGAGTTAAGGATGACTCCAAGTTTTTGTTTGTCTGTTTCCTGAGCAACTACAAAAATGGAATTGGCATTTACTGAGAGGCAGAGAAGCAGAATTCTGGAGGGAAATCAGAAGTCTGGTTTTGGACATGGTACATTTGAGATATGATTGGACACCCAAGTGGAGATGTCAAAGAGGTAGTTGATTGGTGACAAGAATCTGGAGCTCAGGGGGCCAGGGTAGGTATAAAATCAGGCTCTGGTGGAAGTGGAACCTGAGGACTCAGTTCATTCCATAGGCCTCATCCTGTTCTAAATAAATGGTTAGAAAGTCTTCACCAACCCTGGAATCTAACTGAGCATCTGAGACATATTTTGAACCAGGGATTGCCCAGATCATGGATGGAATAGCTCTATCAGTCCCCCAGTCCAACTAGCAATTCATTGTTAATCAATGTTTATCAAGTGCCTACTACGTGCTGGCACTGTACCAAATGTTGGGTATTCAGTGGAGAATAAGAGACGTTCCTCGTCCTCATAAAATGTTTAGTCTTATAGGGGATTAGGACAAGAGAAAGAAGCTCTCAGGACAGTGCAGTGGGGTAAGTATGGGGTACTATTGGACACAAGGGAGAGGCACGTAATCCAGTCTTGGAGGCTTGAGAAAGTGCTAGAGAAAGTGTTATGGAAGCCAGCCGATTCCTGAAGAATGAGTAGGGATAGTCAGGTAAAGAGGTGAGAGAGAGGGCTGGAGAGTGTTCTAGGCAGAGAAAAGAGCATGTATCAAGTAAAGAAAAAGTCTGTTCAGGCAAAGGACAAAAATTCCGTTTAGCATGTCTGGAGTGCAGTGTGAAGGGGGTTGAAACAGAAGGGCAGGTAGTAGCTGGAGAATTAATTAGGAGTCACACCACAAAGGATCTAAATGAGCTTTGCCAGGACTTTATTATAAAGCTATGGGAAGAAAGCCTTTGAGGAGTTGCAAGGCAGAGGGAAGAGGCCATAGTAAAGAGTAAATTGGAGGGAGGCAAGGCTGGAAGCAGTTACATCAGGGGTTTGGGGATAGTGGCAATCTCAGACTCATATTGCCCTAAAAATCACCTATAAATATACCCATATGATATGAGGCAGAGCCTGGGGCTGCTTTGCTTAACCTTAGCTAATGGGAGATGCTTTCCAAGAAGATAATTACTGTGATGGAAAAGAGATACAAGATGCTTGCATTGTAATGGGGGGCTAGGGTATGGGAGGAAGCAAGGTGGAGGGACAGCCTCCAGGAAGGGCAAGCTCTAGTCGCTGGCTGGCGGTGGGGGGGAGCCAAGATCGCAAAGCAACAAGTTAAAGTCTTTCTACAGTTTGCTTTGTGTAATGTGTGTGCTATTCGGTGCATCTTTAGGACAGGGCCTGGATTCTGTGTGAAGAGGCTGAGTGCTGGGTGTGTGTTTGGTACTGGATGTTTGTGATGGGAAGTTCTCTTTGAGTCTCTGTTAATGTGCAAAACTCTGGAATGCAAACTGTACAAGTACATACCTGCAGTGGAAAGGGGTATGCGTGCAGTACATGCTGTGAGAGAGCACAGGCCTTTTTCTGGCCTGTGTTCACAAGACAGTCTCAAACAGCATAAACTACGGGTTCTGTTCAAACTTAGAGACCCTTTTGGTTCACTTTGCACCCAGCGGGAACTCACATATTTGTCAAATGAATGATTGTTCCTGTTTTATTAAAGTTCACCCCTTTGGGGGGGGGGGATTTATAGGTTTGGTTACAAGCAGGAACTAGATGTTTTAAGAAAAATAAACTCACAGCCTAGCACCAACATCCATTTACAAAATCTGGCAGTTTACGTACTGTAATGGAGTTTATATACTAGTTGGAGTCCTACCTTGTGTAAAAAGCTTTCACTATTTCATTTTGTTCGACAAACATTTACTGAGCACCTCAGCCACGTAGGCAGCACCGGGCTGTTGCTGCCGGAACTCATTTCCTTCTCCTCTGAGCCACCTTAGTCTGGGTGCTGCAATTAAAGCTTAATTATATGCTATCTTGTATTGTTCCTTAATTGTTGCATGTGCATGAATCCACTTCAACTAGGCTGTCTGTTCCTTGGGGGCAGGGACTATATTGCAAACTTCAGAAATAGGCGAGGAACTTAGCAAAGGTGAATATACAGTCAATAAACACCCGCTGTTTGAGAAAAAAGGGAAAAAACATGAAACTATTTGTAAACCGTAGTACTACATAACATATACGATACCTTAATAAGGGAACATACATTATTGTTAATTAACGAAAATATTCTTGTAATAATAAAATGTAAAATTCGAATCTGCATTTTCCTGTTAAAGAAAGGTTTTGTGCATTAATAGAATTGCTATGATCCTCACAGTGGCTTCATTCTGGCTCTTTTTAATGCAAAACCAGAATGTTTCCTTGAGGATGAGAGTTGAAAGGTGCAATCAGTCTTTGGTGAACTACTGGATAGCAGTATTATCCTAAGCAGGATTTCTCAACAGTGGCACTATTGACATTTGACACCAGGTAATTCTTTGTTGTGTGGGGCTGTCCTGTGTGTTGCAGGATGTTTAGCAGCATCATTGGCCTATACAAATTAGATGCTGGTAGCACTCCCCTCCTCCTACGTGTCCCCCACCCCCACCTCCGTTGTGTGCAGACATTGCTACCGTCTCGTCTCCCGAGGGCAAAATCACCCCCAGTTGAGAACACATGTCCTATAGGAATTTTGTTCTATTTAGATATTTTTCTTTTTCTTTTCTTTTCTTTTTTTTTTTTAACGTTTATTTATTTTTGAGACAGAGAGAGACAAAGCATGAACGGGGGAGGGTCAGAGAGAGGGAGACACAGAATCTGAAACAGGCTCCGGGCTCCGAGCTGTCAGCACAGAGCCCGACGCGGGGCTCCAACTCACTGACCACCGCCAGATCATGACCTGAGCCGAAGTCGGCCGCTTAACCGACTGAGCCACCCAGGCGCCCCTATTTAGATATTTTTCTTTTTTTTTTTTAATTTTTTTTTCAACGTTTATTTATTTTTGGGACAGAGAGAGACAGAGCATGAACGGGCGAGGGGCAGAGAGAGGGAGACACAGAATCGGAAACAGGCTCCTGGCTCTGAGCCATCAGCCCAGAGCCTGACGCGGGGCTCGAACTCACGGACCGCGAGATCGTGACCTGGCTGGAGTCGGATGCTTAACCGACTGCGCCACCCAGGCGCCCCTAGATATTTTTCTAATGTGACAAATGGTGGGAGAAAGGGGATGGGAAACGATATTTATTGCCTACTTGATGTGAGCTAGGCACTATACCTATGTTTTCTATTTCATCTTACAGGTAGAGAAGCTGAGGTTCAGAGACATAAAAATCTGCTGAAGATCATAAAGATAAAGCAGGAAAGTCAGGATTGCAAACCAGTCTTGTCTGACTGCAAAGTTTAGTCCTTTCCAGCACACACCCCACTGCCTCTCTGCAAGAAAAACAGCATACCTCAAGTTGAAGAAGTGCAACAAGTATGTTCAAAAATATTTAAAACTTTTTGGGGGAGGGGAATTATTGCTTCTATTCCTTAAACTTACTTGAATATAACTGTATATTGCCCATACCTATCGACACAGGGGCCCCTCACTACCGTTGTAACTCTGGTCTTATCTCTGAAAAACATAGAGCAACACAATGGAATAGCTTCAATTCTCCTTGTTACAAATTATACAAAAGCCAGAGCCTAACGGTGCCAAAAGCAACTGGTGTCGTTTACATAAGGGCTCGAGAGCTAATAGTTAACTTTCTCTCATTTAATTCCAGAAAGAGTAAATACCGCCTTACTTTACAACTACAAACGGGTAAAATCGAGTAAAATGTCATAAAATGGAGAAGAAAACATTAACCCAAAAGGAAAATGGAAAGGTTGGCTCCGACGCTCCCTCCCTCTCACGCTTTCGTTTGCGCTCCGGGCGGGTGCCGGCTGCGCGGCCTCGGACTCTATCGCCCCCGCCAAGCTCCCGTCCTTGGCGCCTCGAGCTTTCTGGCTTCCTTTCCCGCCCTGGGGCGAGCTCGGCCTCTCGCGGAGAAGCCCGTCCCGGAGCCAGGCCTGGAAAAACAACAGCAAGAAACTTTGGCTCGGTTTGCGGTTCAGTGAAACAAGGCAAACACTCAAGTTTGGTTCGGGGCTGCAGCCGCCGGTTCCGATATGGGGGTGGGT